GGGAACAAGTTGCCGTAATTTGCGCAGACTGGGGTGACCAAGCCGAGCATGAAGGAGAGAAGGAGACTCCATAACCGTGCCAACATGTGGAGAAGGTTGAAGATAATAAAGTCCATGTGACTCACATCCTAAGTGCCAATCACTTTTTGCGAGCTCCGGTCCCGTAAGGAAACGAAGTTTTGGTAAAAGAGATAACACAATCAAGAGATCGAGTTAGACGGCTAATGGATAATAAGTTAAAGGGGGACCCGGTACATACAAAACATTATCAATGGACAACGAGGGAAAAAGAGTAACCGTTCCAACACCATGAGCTAAAGTTGTAGACCCATTAGCCATTGTAACGGAGGGTAAATTATGAGAAGAAGTGAAAGAGGAAAATAAGGATTTGTTACCGAGTGATGTGACCGGTGGCGCCTGAGTCAAGAACCCAAGAGCCAATAGAAGAAGAGTGAGTCGACCAAAGCAAAAGATGTACCTGTGGGCAACGAAGTAGTGGAACTGGAGGGCTTTCGATCCTCATACCATTGAAGAAAATCATTGAAGATAGCAGATTTGTCTGAAGGTACAGACGAAGGAGGATCCACAGCAGAGGATTGTGCGGAAGAATCAGTCTGAGCAACTGCAGCAGATTGGCGAGGATAACCATGTAAAGCATAACATTTGTCAATTTTGTGGCCTAGTTTGCCACAATGGTCACACTTGACACGCCCTTTGCCTGGCTTGTGAGAGCGATTACGATCATCACGGTGAGAGGCCAAGGCGGATGAATCATTAAAAACGATTGCTCGGACCCACCGGAGCCGACAGAGGTAACTTCGAGATTGGAAGTGGCGACGGAAGATGCCATGGAGGAAGAGAGAGAAAAACCCTAAAACACCAAAGAGGTCCGATTGGAGCAGCGAGGACAGATCCAGAGAGAGGAGAAGGAGGCGACGCCGACGCAAAGAGCGGCGGCCTGAACGGCGGCGAGACGCGCCGCCACGCGCGGCGGAACGGGAGAAGGTGGCGCGGCTTCGGGAGGCGCGTGAGGGAGCGTGGCTGCTCCGATGACCGCGAAACTTCCACGGTGGAGGTCGCACGGAGGAGGCGAGCAAAACTCTGTGCTCGGCGGTCCGAACTGCTACTCCGGCGACGGCGGCGGCGGCGGCGGCGATGGAGGCGGCGACAGCTGCAGGTTCAGTGGCAGAGCCGAAAAAAATCCCAAGAGACCTTAAGCTCTTGATACCATGTTGAATATAGGGAAAAACTGTATAGGGTTAACTTCCCTTGTGTATTTACCACACATAGGACAGTGTATTTATAATAAAGAAAGGTACTCCTCAAAAGAGTAACAGAATACAAATAGGGTAAATAAAAGATATTATTTGATATTGTGATTAACAATATCTAACAATATCTCAACAATATCAAATAATATCAACTAATATCTAATCATATCTAACAGACATAATCAATATCCTGCATAGAATAAGGGAAGAAGGATGATGATTCAAAAAAGGTGACATTAGCAGACATGTAGTACCTCTTGGTTTTAGGAGAATAATACCGATATCCTTTTTGAAGACGAGAATACCCCAAGAAGACACATTTGATAGCTCTAGGTAAGAGTTTATCTAAGTCAGGAGACATGTCATGAACAAAACATATACATCCAAATACTCTAGGAGAAACATGAAAAATTGGTTCCTTTGGAAATAGAATAGAGTGTGGAACTTTATTATCAAGAGAAAAAGATGGCATTCTATTAATGAGAAAGCATGCAGTTAGAATAGCATCTCCCCAATGATGAATAGGCATATTGGCACCCAACAATAAGGTACGAGCAGTTTCAACCAAATGTCTATTTTTTCGTTCTGCTATACCATTTTGCTATGGTGTGTGAAGACACGTGGACTGGTGTAAAATGCCTTGAGAATTTAGGACATTAGAAAAATCATTAGAAAAGTACTCTTTGGCATTATCACTTCGTAAAACTTTGATTACTTTTCCAAATTGAGTTTTGATTTCATTAAGGAAAGACTTAAAGATAGGCAATAGTTCAGAACGATCTTTCATAAGATAAACCCAAGTACATCTAGAAAACCCATCAATAAAAGTAACAAAATATCTAAAACCAAAAGATGAAACACGACTAGGTCCCCATATATCTGAATGAACAATACTAAAAGCAGGATCACATCTAGATTCAGAATGATTTGGAAAGGATGACCTGGTATGTTTCCCTAGTTGACAGGATTCACATTCAAGATTTTGAAGGTTCTGAAGTTCAGGAACCATTTTTTTCAATTTTGCTTAATGAGGATGCCCTAATCGCTCATGTAACAATTTTGGGGATAAGGACGCAACACAAGATACAGATGACTTAGTCCTAAGGTAGTATAAGCCTCCAGATTCACGTCCTTCTCCAATCAGTCGACCCGTACCACGTTCCTAGATAACAAAACAATTGGCATTAAAGGTTACTGAGCAATTCAATGATTTGGTTAATTGGCTTACAGAAACAAGACTGAATGGAAAAGAAGGAACACAAAGAACATTTTGAAGGTTTAAAGAAGAAGAGATGGATACTTGACCAATTCCTTTAGAGGCTACTTTAGATCCATTAGCTAAAGATATGAGATGGGATGTTTTAGGAAATGAAAGAGAGGAAAATAAAGAGGTATTAGCAGAAATGTGGTCAGAAGCACCTGAGTCAATAATCCATGGATTTTGACTTTCCACAGATTGCGAAATGCAAGCGGTTGACGAATTTGGTGTTGTAGAGGCTTGAGCTAAATTGGTTGATTTCATCCTTAAATATTCTTGATACTCTTCATGAGAGAACTTGGGCTCATCAACTTCAGATTTTGAGGTATTAGCTGCCTTATTAGGAAAGCCGTGCAGAGCAAAGCAATTTTCCTTAGTATGTCTCATTCTTTTGCAATGAGAGCACTGAGGACGTCCTTTCCCACCACGTCCTCTAGAGCTGTGATTACCTCTTCCACGAGCAGAAATCATGGCGGAAGAATCAGCAAGTTCCTGACTGTTTTTGCTTTTGATAGGAGGAACACGAAGTAGCCTTGTGATTAAACTCTCCGTAGAAGGAACTTCTTCTCCAGTTAGAATCTGGTCTCTAACATGATTAAACTCTAGATTCATAGCCCTAAGAATCATTATCATATAGAATTTATCCAGCTTCGTCTTCCTTTCTTCTAATGATTCTGCCTCTAGGAACATTTTTAATTCTTCAACAGCTGACTAAGCTTCAGCAACAAAGGACATCATGGAATTATCCTCTTGCTTAAGGGAGGCTAGTCTATTAGCAGAATCATAAAGTCGTTGAATATCGTTAGCAAAGATATTTTGAGCCTTTTTCCAAAAAGAATTACATGTCTTGAAGGCTCGAAGAGTGCTCAAAATATGTGGTTCAACAGATTGCCATAATAGTGCACAAAGTTGATAATCCAGTTTCTTCCATTGAGGAGCCTGATCTGCTGGTATAGTACTTCCATCTTCTTCTAGATGATCATGAACTCCTTGACCTAGAAACCAGAGCTCAATAGAGGAAGCCTAAGACAAATAATTTTTTCCATTTAATTTTTCTGTGGTTATAGTCGGAGTCCCAGAAAAAGATACAGACACAGGTCCTGACATTTTCCAGGAAACAAGAAAGGACCAGCGTGCTGTCAGAGAGAGGACCGAGAGAGGCAGAGAGAAAAACGCAGACCCACCACGTTTTGTGACCGAGAACACAAAACAAAGTGCAGATCTGGCACCAGGGCGACGAGGCGAGCCGGATAGAGGTGGCCTGGAGCAAAACAGCCACCGAGAGGGCGGCGCGTGAGGCCCACACGCGGAGGAAGCCACGGACGAGGGTGGCACGTGGCGGCGCGTGAGGCAGAGATAGAGGAAGCGAACACTGGGGTTGGGTCGCGCTCCTCGAGGCGAGCCAAACCCAAGTGTCAGAGAGGATAAAGGCACCGGAGAAGACAACACTGGCGGCGAACGGCAGTGAACGGCGATTAATGCCAGAAAAAAAAACAGAGACAGGTAGAGCGGGTTCATCCCGCACTGATACCAACTTGAAATAGAAAAAAGAAAATAAAGAACTGATTTTGAGAGCCTTAAATCATCTTCTTGTGTTCTCTTATTTATAGGAGATAAAAATACAGATTCAGAGATACAATTAATAGAAAGACATGATTAATCCTAGAGAAGATAAACAGATGCATTCTAGGAACTAGGTCTACAACTAATCTCATAAATGTCCAACAAGATACACATAATCTAATAAATACTTCAACAGTAGCAAATAATGAGGTAAGAGATTGTAGTGATGGGTACAAACAACTATATGTTCATATGTGTTCTTTACTAAATTTACTAATACAACTCTAGGATATGTACCACCTGTGTAACTGTAGATATATCATTTGGTTATTTTAGAGAGCACTTCTTAGTGGAATGTACAGGGTACAAATTTTATTTGATGTCACTGGGAATTGTTATTTGCCAGTAACTTTACAATACGATTGAAATTGATAGGGTAATGTAGTTACATGACTACTGTTGAAGATTTTGATATTTGGAGATGACTTCCCTTAAAATTTTTGACTGGATTGATGTCACAGATTGACTTGCTTTAAATCTGGACAGAGTTATGCTTTAGTGACTGGAGAAAAACAGGGTGAATAATCTTGTATTATCCATTTTAAATTTAAGATTGAGTCATGCCAGACAGGATGATAATTTCATATAAGCTGTAAAACCATGTAAATTACTTGTTGAACCAATCAATTTGAAGTTCCGTTAGTAGTGCTTATTAAGCTTGTCATTGTACTTCCAAAATTTAAGAAATTTGTGAGTTTCTTTAGATGTACGTTCTGTAATTACATAAATTTGCAGGTGGAGGGAGCCACTTGCAGTTCATCCCCAATGCACGGGTTCCCATTTTAAAATTTAAAAGCAAGCGTCAGGGTGTTTCTTGTGACATTTCAATTAATAACCTGCCGGGCCAAATGAAATCCAAGATTTTGCTTTGGATCAACAAGATAGATGGCCGCTTTCGGGAAATGGTTTTACTGGTACATTCTTGAGTCTAGAGAAAGGTTACTGTGCTTGGAATTGCTTCTGTTTATTTCATTCTTTCTGGTTTGTGTAGGTGAAGGAATGGGCCAAAGCACATAAAATCAATAACTCTAAAGCTGGAACTTTCAATTCCTATTCCCTGAGTTTACTTGTCATATTTCATTTTCAGGTGTTTCTCTTCTTTCGTAATTCTTTTATGGCGTGTTATTTTTTCCTCCTGTTTTGGAGCTTTTGGGGGTGGGATGGGGGAATGCTTCTACCAATTTTAGGAAATATTTTATTGGTTCTGCTTATTTGTTGTCTCATCTCATCTGTTATTTATTTTGGTGATTTTTGCTGGAATTGCATGCATTTCTTGTTTTTCATTTTTGCAGCTGAACTATAAAGGCTTAGTTACCTTTTTAGTTCCATTATTTATTCATTTTATTCAATTTGATCTTCAGTTTGAACATGTGGCATTAGGCAGGCTTTGTTTGGTTTGAGAAAATGATTCATGTTTCTGTTCCTGCTTTCATAATAATTACAAGCATGCCACCCTATTCACTTTATTCATTGTTAGCAAAGATTTCTACAGGAAATGATACTTTTCTCATGATTTTTCATACAAATATTTGGAAAGAGGAAACGCAGTGAAAGTAAGGTGACAAATTTATAATTATATTTTAAAGCACAAAAACTATAAATAAAATGTGTTCTCCCAAAGCAAACTGACCATAAAATAGTGGATGCCTCCAGTCCTCCGCTATAATGTGTTTTAACTGTTAGTTATATCCTCTAATCTTCGCTCTCTGATGCATCCAACATTTCCCTTCTTTTTCAGACATGTGTTCCTGCAATTTTACCACCACTCAAATATATATACCCTGGAAATATGGTTGATGATCTTAAAGGTACACACATCTTTCATTTTGAGCGTGAAATGAAACGTCACTATTCTAGAATTTGAGATATTGAAGTGAGCTATGTAGAAGCTGAACCTATTCATAGAAAGCTATATTATTTGCTCTCTTTTAATTACAGATTCAGTGCATGCTTAAATGTTAAGAATTCTATAAATAAATGCCTACCACTTCTTTCAATGCCAGGACTTACAAAATATTCATGCTATTTCTTGTACTCCCCATATTACTTCACATTTTCCTCGTGTGTTAATTTTTACATGCATTTGAAGAATTAATCCTCTTTTTGAAAGACGTGATCAATAGCATAGTTTGATGACGTTTATTTTAGTTTCAGGGGCCTTTGGATAGTATTTTCCATAGGGATAGTGAATAGTTGTTTTTGGGGTTGACAAACGTTCAACTCATAGGACAGATTGGTGGGCTGCAGGCTCACGCAAAGTGTTATTTATTACTTTTTGGCTATCCTTTCCCCTTTTTTAGCTCTCCCTCACCGCAATGGCTTTTGCCCATACAGCTTGAGGTATAAGTTATGGGTATGCAAAGTTTGGTTGGAATTGAACCGTTTTGAATTTGAATTGAACTAAACTGGTTTAAAACAGAACTGGTCATAAAGAAAATTAACTGAACTGTTTTTTTGAAACCTGTCCAATTCGATCCGTACTGTTTTTCGTAAAACAGGTTTGATATTACTGTAACCAAACCTTTTTTTTTCCTCATGACACAGTGTATAATTTGCTTCTCTCCACTAAATATTATTATAAAGTGTTCATTTTTATGCTAACAGTACTATTTGCCGGCCAAGTATTTTTTAAGCTGTCTAGATGATGCTTATTGTCACATTGATCTAGCCTTTTTGTTTTTTATTGGGCTAATTTTATTTCAACAATGAAGAAGCCCTAACCTTATATATGTTTTATCTAATTTCAACATATACTAAACAAAGGTCTAGCTCGGATGTATAGGAGTGTTGACTTAGACTCATGTTTATCTTTCCATCATATATTTATCAGTTCTCTTATCTCTTGTATAGTTTATCAGTTAATTATTATTCTGTTTATCAGTAAATTTGAAAATCTGTTACTGAGGGGGCTATTTTTTTTTTCCGTGTGAATTATAAAGACAACTTTACGCATGTGCAAAAGATATGATCTCATTCAATAATAGAACTAACATTTAACTACATTTATAAGCTAGCTAAATGACGAAGTGTAGCTGTTTTGTCCTAAGTTAAATCACGACATTAACTTCAATTAAAATAATATATGCTAAATAAAAATGTCAACTTGAGGTGCTCCTACGAGCTGGTTCTGTTTTGTTTACAACTAGCATGGATTTTAAAAGATGGTCTCCATGTGGGTTTAATTTTTGTGGGGAAAACTAACATTTTCTGCTGTGTAAGTTTTTAATTTTCAGATGAATATTGAACCTAATATGATTATTCTAGAGTGGGATCCGGATGATTACAGACTAGCTCTTCCTGGATCATTCATTAGCAGGGAAAACCAGTTCAAATCAGTTAAGTTTTAAAAACCGGTTCAGAACTGGTGTAAAACTGGTTTACAAAAACAGTTCAGTTCAGAACTAGTTTTCTCAAACAGTTCACATGTGTAGATCAACGACTTTGGTCGGTAAATGTTAATTGTGAGTTTGCTTGTTTTTATTAGCAGTGGATTCAAACCCACGGCCTATCATTGTTCAACATGATGCCGAGGCAGCAACCTTTTGCTTTTTTCCTTTGAATTTATGAGTTCGGAACGTCCAAAATGCTTAATGTGTTGAGAATTGTCAGTTTTGGTTAGCGGGGATTCAAACCCATGACTGATCCCACCTCCGACCATTCCATTACCACCAAGCCAACTTAAATGTTTTTTTTTTGCACAACCCTAGAATAAGTACAACAAACTTGTTCAACATGTCGCCCAGGCAGCAACCTTTTGGTTTTTCCTTTGAATTTATGAGTTTGGAATGTCCAAAATGCTTTAAGTGTCTAGAATTGTCTGTTTACTTATATACAAGAGATATGCAGGCGTTAAAGCTGATGCAGAGAATCTCATAGCAGAAACATGTGAGGCTAGTATAAACCGGCACATTGCAAACAATGCAAGGTCAATTAACACCAAATCTGTGACTGAACTTTTTGTTGAATTCTTAAGAAAGGTAAATCGTTTTTTCTTTGATTTTATACTTTTTTTGTACTGGTAAAAGATGTTTGCATGCTGTGTTTACTATCTGGTATTTTTTTGTGCACTTAATCATACACGTTTGAGTAGTGAGTCAACATTTTACACAACGTTTTTTGTTTATTTCTTTCTATGACATCATTTATTACATTTCATAATTCTCTCAGTTGTATAAATTGTTGTACGGTATAATTTCTTTTTTAAAATTGTATCGTTTTCTCCCCGAATTATACCCAGTGAGAATGTTGTATTGATGCATATCGTATATTTTTAATGAGAACATAAGATTTTATATACATGTTATTGAGGCTCTCTCTGGCAGTGAATTTTCTCTATCTATAGCACCGCCCTCTAGCATTATTGACATAATATAATGATTACACCATGTTGTATGTTCCTGCAGTATGCTCGGATGGATTCATGGGCCTCGGAGTTGGGAATTTCCCCTTATACTGGACAATGGGAGCAGATAGAGAACAACACGATTTGGTTACCCAAGACTTACTCTATATTTGTAATACTCTGCATATGTTCATCTCTGCTTCTTGGTGACATTATGGTTATGCTTTGGGATAGCCTCTAACAACAATCTTGATTCCGTTTGGACTTTCCTACGAGCCCATGCTGTAGTGGGAAATGCTAGATTTTATGATGCATATTTTCTCTCGATCTGCTACTGATCTTTGTATCTGACTTTTGATTGGTTAGGTAGAGGATCCCTTTGAGCAGCCACAAAATACTGCAAGATCTGTCACTGCAGGACAACTGAAGAAGATAACCGAGGCATTTTCCACAACATACTCCTTGCTTACCACAAACAATCATAATCTAAATTCACTTTTGACCATTTTAGCACCACCACATGTAGTACAATCTATCACAACTCCTATCAGAAATTACAATGGAAGTCACTTTCACCCAACTCAGCCGATAGTGCAGAGAGTCATACGCCCGCGACTGCAGTTACAACGTCATTTTCAGTATTCCGGTCCAGGAACAAGCTCCAACAGTTCATCTTCAAATGGAGATACACAGATGCCTAGAGGAAGAAGCTTTAACATTCCATCTTCAAATGGGCTTATACAAATGCCTAGAGGAACAAGCATCAGCAGTTCATCTTCATATGGGAATATACAGATGCCTAGAGGAACAAGCATCAGCAGTTCTTCATATGGGAATATACAGATGCCTAGCGGAACAAGCATCAGCAGTTCATCTTCATATGGGAATATACAGATGCCTATCGGAACTATGATGCCTAGAGGGACAAACTCAAACAGTTCATCTTCAAATGGGCATGTACCGGTGCATAAAGGCCAGCAGATATGGAGGCCAAAGAGTTAAAGTGGATCTCTATCAAGCATTCAACAGTTCAGCTTTCGACAGGTTTTGACTATTGCCTTTCAATTTACTTGTTAATACAAGTGATTGGAAGAATGGGATTTTGATTTTTTTGTGCCCATGGGGATCAAAACTTGATTAAACATGTAGATATTAAATGAGGTTTTGGTGGGCATTATTTTGACATTTATACAACTCATATGTACTTGCAATATTCGTAGCATGCAAGAGTTTGTAAAGTGCAACCATATGAACCATAAATTGTTCGCTATTTTATCATGTTGAATGGTATTAGTATTGTATTGGTAACGAACAAGGATTAAATAAGTAAATAGAGGCTTAGAAATGTCGTAATACATCTGTTTTGACACAATTTTCATACATTAAAAAGAGCACAGTTGTGAGCTGCACCATGTATGTCTCTTGCATAGGACATTTGTTTTTTTCGGGTGTTTCTTCCTCTACTTCAATAATTTCTATTGCATACCATAATACATGTAAAATATCAGAAATACTTTTGAGGTCAGTTTTCCTCTTTCACACCACACCTCTATGCCATCACCTGCAGCTCCTACATCTTTATTAAAACATCATTTTTACTTTAAATTTAAAAATTTGTTGACAATTTATACTTTAAATTAGATAACATGTGCATCTAAAAATCCTGTCAAAAAATGAATTTGATTTGTATTTTTGGTGATTTAGATTTTTTTGATCTGAAATATGTTTATGAAAAACACAATTTAAAAATGAATTTTTAATAGACTAATCTAAAACACATTTGTTAATTGTATTTTTTGAAAACATATTTTAAATTTTAATTCAAAATTTATTTTCAGAAAATACAATCTAAAATGTGTTATTGAAAATATAATTCATAATTCATTTTTAAATTGTATTTTCTGTAAATATATTTCAGAAAATTTTCAAAAATATTTTAGAATTAGTTTTTTAAAATATATTTTCAGAAAATAGAATCCAAAAATGTATTTCAAATAACATAATTTAGAATTTATTTCCGAAAAAAATTCTAAAATATATTTAGATTAGAGATAATATTGTTATTTTAGATAAATATGGAGCGCAGGAGTAAGTACGGGAAAAAAAGGAACAAATGAGCTTTCTTTCTGCATAATGGACTTTTAAGAATATAAAAAATGTATTTCGGAAAGTCCATTCCTAAATGAATCGGAGTAGCCCAAGAATTGACGCATGTGAAATTTACTTCAAACCTCATTTGTTTTTACTTTGGCCTCCAGTCACAAAGAATCATTTTCAAAATCTTTTTATAAATGTTAACTTTGAAACTTTTCTCGAAATAGATGATGAATTATATAAGATTTCGTACACTTTTAAAACCAATTAATACTTTATCATTCCGTTTTATCTTAACATATACTCTTTGAAAGAAGCAAAGTTTCCGTTCCTAGATTAGATTACTTATCCTCAAATGTCTACATTATCTAAAATTTTATGCACATAAAAATAATGCGCGTGGATCAATTCACATGAAAATGTATCTCACATTCAAGGTTTAGATATATTGTTACATCAAATACTTAAAATCAGATGTAGGGTTTTGTCGCTTATAACCATTATTAACTGATGGGTTGTTCGTGATTTGTAAATAAATAATTAATAAAAACACATAACCATAGTATATAAGTACAATGATTTGCGTTACGTAAATGAACATGTGATAGAACCAAATAATCACAAGAATTTGTGAATGAAGGGATTGATGAGAGAGCAAGGGATAGTGAGAATTGCCTTCATTTTTGTCTCCGACATGCATCCTACAGGAATCCGATACTTGCCATATACTTTCTAATCAAATATGGGTCGTCAAATGTTTTTTTGTTTATTAATTATCTTATTTTCGATGGATGGTTTTTGCTTTTTAAGTTTCAAGTGTTCTTCCAAACCCAAACACGCGCGTAATGTTTATGAATTATGATGACATTATTCGTTGTGGATGTTATTATATTCAGAAAATCTCAAAAGTGGAGCATTCATGGTCAACCTCATGATCAGCATATATATATATATATATATATATATATATATATATATATATATAGTGGTTGAATTTTTAACACCATGTTTTGGGGAATAAAAACTTATATCCATGATTCTCTTCTGCCAAATTTTTTTTTCTTTTGAATCTTGCCTACGTATGAAGTCCTGTACATTTTTCTTCTAGTATGAACATGTTGAGGCTGCATTTTTTATTATTATTTTTTTATTTGTTTAACAGTATCAGATTCTTGTTAATTTCCCACACGCACAAATAGGGTTACTTCTATCTAGCAGGTTGATTGGGACATATTGTAGTTGTAAACTGCTGAAGAAAATCATAAAGCATTACAATTGATTATATGCGAAAGTTAGGATAGGATAACATTATTGTAGGTTACATCTTATCTGTATGTTGTGTTATGTCTTCTACCTTATCCTCTCAAGGATCTCTCACCAAAAAACATCATCTTAAGAGACAACTGAAATTGCTACAATGACTATGATTATTTGGCTCTAAGACAGGACAAGTTGCTAGATTCTTGTATACAGAGTCACTAGAAAGCACAATCAATAAAGATTTATAGTAGCGCGTGGCTTTAAGGTGTGATTTAAAGAGAAATGTGGTATTTACAACTCTTTGAGCATTAGTTGAGGTTGCAAAAGGCATATAACATTAGGTGACAAATGTTGTTTGACAAATTTTTGCTGTCATAACTGCATAATGATATACTAAATTAATATACATTAAGAATATTGGACAGAATCAAAATCATAGAGAGAGAGAGAGAGAGAGAGAGAGAGAGAGAGAGAGAGAGAGAGTTTTGCATGTTATAAACTCTTATTCTACTGATATTAAGTTTGGCCTTTGTAGCAATATATGAAACTGAACTATTAAATTGTCCAGATTATTTGGTCCAGTGACATGTTTAGATTTTCTTTTATATATTTGAAAATGTGATTATATATTATATGGAGAGTGGCTAACACATTATGTCTGATCATACAAAAAATTTTCAAAAAATTAGGTGGGTTCAGTAAAAAATGTCTTTTTATATTAATTGCTGAGCTGAGCATACCAAACCTCAATAGCCTTGACCATATGAAGAAAATGTGGTAAAACTTAAGCTAATTTCCAAATTAGGTTAACAAATCGTTTTTAATTAACAAAGACGAATGAGTGTGTAACATTGGTTAAAGAAGCAATTGAATGGTTTTTCCAGAAATAATTAGAAGAAGGAAAAAGTGATTCGTGGATGTAACAAGTCTGATAGGGTTGAGAGCAAGCAATCAGCATCAAATCTAAACAAATCTCGTCCAGCTAAGAGATGTGGACACAGAAAAAAGGATGAAATGCTACGTGTCCATCTTCCATAACTATGTGTGTGAGCCCACATGTTTATTTATTTATGGAATTTGCATGGAAAATGGTGTAACGTACCAACAACCCAAACCCTAATATCTTTTTCCCTTCATTCTGTTTCCTTTTAATACAAAGATTCTATCAATCCCTGTAACATCATTATTACAGTATTTAAATTAGATATACTTCTACACAATTTCGTTTTCTTCTCAATCACAATGTCAGTTTCATTCTTAAATTTGATGTCTGTACACTCTGATCTCTGAGCAATACATAAATTATCAATTTCACAGCAATTCATTTATTAAGTTTCGAGTTGGAGGAATCATCATATCAGAAAATTTACAAACATATCATTAAGAATTAAATGAGAACGTGTTATATTAAATTTCTTCTTGATTTGTCTCTTTTAGTGCATAACTGGTGTACGGAAAAGAACTACAGGAATATAACTATCCAGAGGAACATCATTTATCTATTCTTGAGTCGACAATTTGGGTCCCAAGTAAAGGCCACTGTCATCAAATTGCATCCATTCTCGACTCTCATACGTGACTTCTATGTCGTCTGCAACTTATTTTTCATCATCATCATCTTAACATTCCAAATATTCTTTCAAGAGTTAAAAGTTAATTTACTTACATCTTTCTTTCTATTTAAACTTTAAATATTCTGTAAGAGAGAAATGATGATGGAGGTCCTCATGTTAAAAAATTTAAACATAACATAAATAATATATGGAGAGAGATACATAGATATATATTAATCATATTTATAAGCAACCGTTGAATTGGTAATCTAGTTTATTAAAGGTTGTCATAAAATATTAATATTAATATTGAATGGTTAAACTTCTTATTTCAAAAAACAACTTACAAATAAACGTATTTTAAAATGTTAAATGAAATATTATTTGAAGATTTAACATAAGGCTATATATACGCTAAATATTGGCTTAGACAATGTATGGTTTATACTTAAACGTTAATGATTATATATTATCTTGTAAAAAATGTTAATTAGTGGATGAATTAAACGTCATAATGATTTTTTTATCCTCATATTAGCATATCTAATGGTGCTTCTTAATATAAGAATATATATTTTATTTAAACTTATATTAAAAAATTGAGTTGGTTGTCATTGTGGAAAACCAATTATTGTAAAAAACTCTGGTATAACTTGCTTTTTTTTTTTTTCTCAAAAACAATTAATAAAGGAGAGAGAAAGACATAAATTTAAAAATATAATATACGGAGACCCACACTGTCTTAAAAGTTTTTAAATTATATATGACATTGATGAAAAAAAATAAAAATTGTTATACCCAAAATGAGTTCTACCATTAAAGATGACTAAATCTCAAATGGTATCATAAAAAATACCTTCAATGTCTCACTTTTAAAATTTTGATAAATACACATTAACAAATAAAAAGAGGAAAACAAAATATCTACAAATTCTTTTGTGAAATCAAGTTTTACTAAAAGTTATTGGTTTATTTGTTTACTTTGAGTGTCTTGTTATGAAGCATAAGCTTAACTTACATATTCATCTACTATAAGATGTTTTGATTCATAATATCTTTAATACCTTTTTATTTTATCTGAGAGACTATAAAAATGTGAAGATATTATTATTTAAAGAATATTTAAAAATTAAGAATATTTGCTTCGAAAAAGAACTTCAGAAATCAAGAAATTCTGAAAAAAAAAAAACAAATTAGTCAATTTTTTACTTCAACCACATGAAGAAACTTTTTCACTTGACAACAATGACAAGGGAAAAGTGAAATGTATTATTATTGAAAGTGTTTTATTTGTAAAAGGATTTAAGTACAACCTACTATAATAACAGTGGGTATATCTTTTCTACAAAGGCTCATTTATAGTGAAACAAGATGATAAAAGTTTTTTTTTCTACCAAAAGAAATAACAAACTATATATTGTGAACTTTGAAAAATTAAGTACTCAAAATATAACTTGTTTGATTTCTAGAGCAGATAAAAAATAGTTATGAGACAAGACAAGTAAATATAAAATATATTTCAAAAATTTATAAAAGGTGTTTAGTTAAAAGGTTGTCCAACATAACGTGATCGGGGAAAACAAATAAAAAACTCTTGTAAACCCTTAAATATAGTTTCAACGGAACTTGTTTAGTCCCACAAGAACATCGTCATGAAATAAACTTCTCTAAAAATAAGAAAAGATTACATTCTTCCTACAAGATTATCCAACAACTTTTACTAGGAAAAAAAATTGAACAATAAAGATAAATTGTGCACACAATTTGATTAATAGATTATAATGTAAAATAAGTGAAAAAAAAAAGAAATATCATAAAATAAGTGAAAAAAAAAACAAATGAAATATCATATAAAATCATTGTTTTAAATAAATAAACAATTTTTAAGACAATGAACAAAGTATTGTTAAAAGACTAAATATTAAAAAATATATCTATAATTATAAAAATAGACAATTTTATTTGGTTAGACTATCTTATAGGTTAAATTAAAAATTTTATATTTTAACCTGATTTATATTTTATAATTTTTATTCAAATATAACCCTAAATTAAGTTAATAAACCATTTGACCCATTTTTTTAAGTCATATATATATATATATATATATATATAATAATTGTTAATTGTCTAACATAACTGGCTTAAAAAATAGATTAAAATGACAATAAAATAACAATGAAATAAATTTTAAAAATGTAAAAAATGAAATGAAAATAAACTATTAAACTATATAATCTCTAATGAAACATTTTATTTTTATTTAATTGATTAAACAATGTCCTTATAAAATTCCCTATCTTGTTCATGATGGGAGAGTTCCGAGATCCGCATCACTATCCATCATAATAAAACATGAAATAATAGAACATTCCTTAAAATTAGCTATTAAAATAATGGTGGAACTCAATCCTTAAAAAGATACGAAATAATTGAAAGCATGTATTTAGAGAGGACATATGCATTTGTTAGTGCCTCTTTTAAATTTTGACTAAAGCATATTCTCATTAATTGTTATTGCAACGAGACTACATGCATCTGGTTCAACAAATTCAGAACTTTGATAGTTTTTCCACCAGGTCGCGACTTGGTCAGTACCCTGTTCAATTTCTTCTATTTCATATTATTATGACGTATAGTTGAACACTTCAATAAAAAAATAATTCGACCAACCGTTTAGAATCACAAAACACTTGCTCATAAAAGCTCCCTTACAGTATTTTAAATTTTCATCAAACATCATTAAAGGTTAATTTTAATAACTATATTTAGCTTAATGGATTTGGTTAAGATAATTTCAATCCTTGATTAGGACAACCAAGAGTTGGGGAGGATGGGATCAAAGAAAATTGTCTGTTAATCCGTTTAACATCCAGACACCTTCTCTGCTAAGGAATAAAGAATAGCCAGTTCATGAAAGAGAGCACAATTAGATTGTTTTGAATTTCTAATACTAAGCTTTCGGATGGTAAGGTCAAAAAACTCAAGATGACGACTTGTGCGTGCTGTCCATTTGACGAGGATTGAACGAAGAGAGCAAAATGTTGTCTTAAACTAAGGGTAACAAACAAACGACTTCTGGTGACGAATTTTGTTCCAGCCTTCCCAAGAAGAGACTTAAAATAGAATTGGAACAGACACTGACAAAACCAAAGGAAATTTCAATTTATAGAGTCGATTATGGACAAAAGAAAAGGTTGTCGAATTTCCCCTACAACCAAATTTTCCTACGATTTTTTTTTTTTTTTTCACGTTCGAAAGTTACAATTTTCTTCCTCCTTTTTTCTTGAAAAAAAAAAAAAAACCCGACATTACACTTGGAAAGAACGAAAAAACAACATTGATTAAGCAAAAGGCAGACCTTGGATTTTGTCTCCCTATCCTTAATCCTGAAAACAGAGGGTGTGCAATGCAGTGAAAGTGCCGATAATGCTGCTCAAAAGGGACACTCGATCATTCATTCATTCATCCATGGTGCATTCATTAGTTCAGGTAGTTGGAGGCGGAAGTGGCGGCTAGTCCCTGATCCTTCCTCAAATCAATCACCACCACGCTCACATTATCCGCACTGTGCCTTGCTAAAGCCAACTTAGTCAACAGAATAGAGGCATCAGAGCAAGCGCGGTCGGATCCGTCTGCCGTCACGTAACCCCCCGGAGACCCGGGGGGCGTTGGTGGCTTCTGCGACTTCAGGCACATCTTCACCACCCCACAAGCAGTTTCATTCGAGACCACATCCCAGAGTCCATCACTCGCCAGTATCAAACACTCATCTTCATCACTTCGTTCGGTCACCGTCACCTCGGGCTCGGAAATCACGAACGGCTTCAGGTAGTAGTCACCTGAACAAAGGGAAGCAACACAAGCCGTTAAAAAAGCGCGACTCGTAACATTAAAAAAGTGCAAGCTGCTGTCATGCGCAATACGGCTTCATTCATTCACTTGCCTATGGCTCGAGACATGGCCAACACACCCAGCACTCTCGGGCCGTCCCAGTAAATCACGCGCCCTCCTTTGGATTCCACACGGAGCAATTCGTCGGGACGATCCGGCTGAATAAAACGGATCCAGAAACGGCTATAAGTTAGGGAAATATTTTTTTATTCTCGGAAACGAAATAAAAAAATAAAAAAAAAAGGAGAGAGAGAGAGCGGTACCTTGTGATCAGAGGAGAGAGGGATGGCGACTCCGTTACGACAGAGGACAGCGCGGGAGTCGCCACAGTTGGAGACGACGATTTTGTCCGGAGTGAGGATGGCGATGACAGCAGTGGATCCGACGGCGTCGCAGTGCGGAGTCTGGAGCTCGCACCTGCAGTTGAAAGTCTGGTTGCCCTGGCTCTGGCTGAAAACCTCTTGGTCCATGCGAGCGAAGCCGCTCTGCATCATCGATTTCCACTCAAAATTCTCGTCCCCGTCGAGAATCTCTTCGTTCACAATCTCGTGAAGCCGCTCCTTGCACATAGTCGCAACCTGTGGAAACCACAAATTGAAATAATTAAAACGAGAAGACACAACACAACCAGATCCATTACAACAAACTTGAACAGATTGAGAATACAAACATGTGAGCAACCGTGACCGTCGAAAACGCCGAAGTAGTGGAAGCCTTCGAGCGAGAAGAAAGGGCGCAGGGAAACAGAGTCCTCCATGTCCCTCCTCCTACCGCAGACGGAGGTGACGCCGAACTTGGGACACTCTTCATCTTCGGAAGAGTCATCATCTGTGAGGGACTTAGAGTCGGAAACGTCGTCGTCTTCTTCGTTGACGAATTCGGAATCCTTCGTCATAACCTTGGTTCCGGAGGATTCCTGACGAGTTTGAAGTTGATTCTCGTGGTCGGTAAGATCGAGCTTGGGGCTCTTCCGAGAAGACTCGGGCACGGCCATGTCAGCGATGTACTTCAAGGGCAAGATGTCCATACTTCGGCGCCTGGAAGGACGAGATGGTGGTTCAAGAGGAGTAGAAGTTTCACCTTCACCAACAACTCCACAGCAAATCCCAGCCATTGAGGGGCTCTTTATAGCCGCGAAATGAACAGAGAGAAAGAGAGAGTTTGTTGTAGTATGAGTAAATTGTAGATACAGTTAAACGTGCAGGGGAAGGAGAGAGAGAGAGAGAGAGGTGGACGCTAATAGGGGGAAATGGAAGGGTTCTGAGAGAGGGGACAGAGCCATTGAAATGGGATTGGGGGAGAAAGGTTTTCTAGGCGGTGAGAATGAGAGAGAGAAAGAGAAGAATGGTTCACTTCACCTGGGGGCCACACGGGCAGCCTGCCCGTCACCGTCAGGGGCACCGTATGCCATCTCCACCCTTCATCACATCCCTCCTTCCCTTCCCTTTCCTACACGTGGTGCACCTTTTTCTCTCCCCATTACGTGTCACCAATCATTTCCATCCACGCTAGCTCCAACCCTTCTTCCTTTTCAGACACGCATGTGGTCCTCTCCTCTCTCTCTCTCTCTTACCTTCCAAGTTCTATTTCTTCAACCCAAACCCCCCCTCCCTCTTCTCTCATCTGGTTTCCGTTTCACCCGCAAATACTATTTATTATTATTGCATAACCTCCATCTATTACTGTGTGTGTCTAACTTGTACATATTAATAATCGTTTTAATTGTTTTAATTGTTAAGTAGTATTCAGTACTAATTATTAATTATATAGCTACAGTTTTAATTGTATTTTGTTGGTTGAAATGTTTTTCCTTCTTTTCTTTTATTCATTTTCTTTTGTATTCCACTTTTCGGTCTCCTAAGACGCTCGCCCGGGGATTTCACCACGTGGCTTCATCGTAGAGTACGAGATTCCTGTTTCATTCTGCTAATCCCGGCCGCTCCTCTTCCTCTATACACACCACGCGCCTCTGTTATTTACTGTTTATATTCATCAAGTGGAAAGAAAATTAAGATTTCGGCCAACATATTTAAATCCAAACTTTTTTTTTCTTAACTGCATGATTGTATTAACTCTTACAAGAACAATATGTGAATGTGAGTTAAGAGAAGAGAACTTTGACATGGATGAAAAACTTGTATACATATTATTTTTTTATATTTTATGTAACTCTAATATATCTTTATGTGTATTTATTTCAATAATAATTTTGTTATTTGTTAGTTTTTCTATGTTTGATATTTTTGAGTTTCTTTTCTAAGATGTTACTTTATATTTCCCATTTTTATTTAATATTCAACTTTAATTATGTTTTAATTCTAAATTCAGTATTTTACGATTTTTTTTTTCCTATTTTTATCTCAGGTTGTCTGTATATGAAGTGATACTTCATTGACTGAAGTGATAAACCTAAGTAGACAAGATTGTTTGATTTGAAGAAGAAAATAGATAGACCTTGTTATTAAGCTGAGTAGTAGAGCGCGTGGAAGGAAGGGAGGCGCAGGGGCGAGTGGGTGAGGGAGAGTGTTGAGTGGGGGGAAGGTTCGCTTTATGGTGGCGATTCCAGTTGTCCAATGAAAGCGATCTACGTAACAAAGGATATTTGGACACGTGTGGGACCGCATGTCAAAGGCGATTGACGCTTGCAGAATATCTCAGGTTCTCATTATTCAATGTGGGACGCGTGGCTTTTTCTTACGTGGATCCATCCTTAACTGCTAACATATGCATTGCCTATGCCTTCAAATACTCTCACTACAAACCCTTCTTTTCCTCAATTCAAATTCAAACATCAACGCAGCCACCACCCCACACCTAACCAACCTCTCTTCCACACACGACACTTGTCACTCCCCCTTCATTTCTCCTCACACCACCTTAGTTTTTCTTATTTTAATACCTATCCATCTATTCACCACCGTGAAAAAACTATTGTTTCATATATCTTTTTGACTTCCCCCTCTTAGTTGAAATATTCAAAGGCAAAGTTATTTGCCATGTATTAATTAATATTATTATGACTTTGTCTTGTACGAATTTAATATTTTATACTCGTGTGGTTTTGCAAATCTTGAAGTAGAACTGGATAACGTAACACATAATAAGTCATTTGAGTATTAGACAGATACACGCATGAGATCTGAGGAGAACGTCATTAACAACGTGCAAAACACAATAAGTGGAAAATGCAAAATATTTACTAATGTTTTGCTTCCAAAGCCTACAACAATATTAATTAAAAATTTACTAAATTTGCCGTCATATTTTACTAGGTTGCGTTGTGAGAGTGATATTATTTAGTGACGAAAAAACAAAAAAGCGCTGCACATGATGAAGACGAGAGAGAGAGAGGGATTGAGTCAGCAGCATATGCGTCTCAGAAACTGAGCTTTTCAGTCTTTCACCAAAAAGCCACACTGATTCTCCATGTACTACTAATTTCAGTGAAGTTTTCCTTATTACAACAAATAAATAATCAATTTTATCAGCATCATAGTTACCACTTATGTTTAATGTTTTTCTATATCTGGGAATGCTTTTTTTTTTCTTAAATTAATTTAAAAAAGAATCAAAATTCTATTCTGGTCTCTTAATGTTTATACTATATGCATATAATTTAAATTTACAAAATTTTACATAGCTGGATTGATATCAATTTCACGATGATATCATGTATCTTCCATGCAAGATTATTATTATTATTTTCGCATCTTCTTTTTACTCAGCTATATTCTCAATAATCTGTCATGAAGAACACACTTGCGCCTCCTAGGGTTTAAAAGACCCACCACTGAAACACATTAATTGTTTTAATTGAGAACAAAAGCTTCACAACCCCAACTTGCATGCATTAAAACAAAAGATTTCTTATCCCAACAAGGGAAATCGAATAAAACAAAGGAAAATGACAATAATCATTATAATTATTACAATTACACTGATAAATTTTTTATGAATATCATTTGGTTTTTTATTTCCACCAGACTCATTGATTTGTTTATGATTTGAGTTTTTAATTTATATGTAGAGATAAACTATAAACATTTGTCAGATAGAAGTGATAGAGAAGAAAAAAAATCAATTGTTTGTTTGCGAAGAGAGGTAGAGGAAAAGTGCAATTAATAGATTTAGGTGAAAAGATTTAGAATTGAGAAATAATAGATTATTTAGTTAGTATTTTAGTATTTATATTTGAATAAATGATCTTTAAAAATATTTTAATTTATTAATAATAAATATATTTTATCTAATTTTTTACTTACCAGACTATCTTTTACTTAATTTAGATAGCAATTTTATTTTTAATTTTTATCTTTTATGTGAAAAAATGAAGATTAAAATGAAAATTATGGATACAATATTTTGTGGAGAATATTTTAATAATTAATAAAAATACATAATAAAATATATATATTATTTTAATTAATGTAAGATAGTTTACTGTGTACGAGGTATTAGTTTACATAAACAAAAAATAAAAAATAACACTTTTTTCTTATTAAAAGATAGAATTATATAAATTAAATATCTTTCAACATAATTTAGTAACATCAAGATTTGAACGTTGAATCCACCTGCAAAGTTAATGAAGTGACAGATATTTATTGCTGCAATTTGCAATACAAGCGTTTTCTTAAAATGCTAAAAACAAATAGAGGGAAGATATAATATAAGATGTAGACAAAAAGTATATGATGCATCTAATTCCTTGAATCAGTATGAAATTGTGCTCATACTCATAGACAGCTGTGGAAACGACAGAGGTATTATTACGTGTCATGGTTAAATAGCTACACATGACACGAGTAAGCCATGCAAAGAATTTAGCAGCATCAGCCAAAGAAAACTATGCGCATGGCAGGGGAAGCTATGTCATGTCTATATGCATTCAGCATCAGGCAAAGAAACAAATGTACATGACACGAGTAAGCCATGCCTTAAGATGCATGCCGCATCAGCCAAAGAAAACACATTCATCTGACACGAGTAGTCACGCCTTAGATGTATTCAATATATCAGCCCAAGAAACCATACACACACGACACGAGTAAGACATGCATTAAATGTATCCAATACATCAGCCAAAGAAGAAACATGCATATGACACGATTGAGCCATGCCTTGCATGCATTCGGCATCAAAGAAAAGAAAGCATATGCGCATGACACCAGTAAGCCATGCATTATATGGATTCAGTAGCTGCATGTGAATAAGCTACACACCTAAAGCAAATGGCATCCTTCTTACTGTAACCTGTGACGCGTGTGTTTGTGAGTAGAGTTGCATTATGCATGTATACATACTGTTGGCGTTCATATGAAACAGCTTATACAGGCTACCAAAACCAGGTTCTTACGCCGAGGGTTTTGTACGGATCAAGACAACATATGTTGTTTCCTAGGATCCATGATGTCGTGTCATATGGTACGTGCAAAAGCAGAGGGGAATGCTTGATATCTGGTCACTGATATAATTTTGAGAAGTAAATGCTGTATCCTTCCAAATGTTGAGGTAGAATGAACCGAAAAGGAGAAAGGGATGGGTTTGGATTACGAGGTGAAGAAGAAAGAGTGGTTTTGAAAATTTTCCTCTTTACCCTTGTCTCAAGCCATTAAATGAACTCTCTCGCTCCGTAAGATTGAGCCAGAGTAAAGAAACTCTCTCCAAGCAAAGAAAATTTTAACTTTTTATCTTTGAAAATTTTAATTTAACTTTTTAAATTATTTATAACTTTTTAATAAAATTGTAAATTCAAACCTTAAATCCTAAACTATATAACATATTATCATTAATTATATATTAAAGTTTAATTTAAAAATAATAAAATAGATATAAAAATAGTGTAAGGATTAAAATAAATAATTTAATAAAATAGTTATCATGTACCATACTAATATTTTATGCAATACAAATGTAAAATATTTTTTTAATTTAACATAGGACTAACAAAACATTACTTTATGCAGAAAAATAGTTAAAATATAACATTTCCAAAAAAGGTTCCATTATACTCAATTTTTTTTTATTTATTTACTACCAACATTACTAAAAAATTTAAATTTTTTAATAGAAATTACATGTTAAAATAACTTAAGTTTCATGCTCAACTATAAAATAAGGAAGAAACTATTGATCTAACAAAACATGAAAAAAAAAACTATTAATAAGAAAATGCTAAAAAAAAAGAGGAACTGGTAGAAGAACAAGAAGAATTCAGAGTGAAAAACAAAATGAATGTAATGCGTAGTGATTGAGTAAAGATAAAATTGTAAATCTGTTAATTTTTAAATGTTAATTAAATTAATAATTTAAAATAAAATAGTTAGACACATTTACATTTTGTTTTGATTATGAGGTTTTTGAATATTTGAGCATATTAAAGGTTGGGAGATGCATTACCTTGTCTTTGTCAACCCAAGTCATCTGATTGTCTGGTTTCAAAGCTGGTCTTCGTGCAGCAGGGCGCACTATTCCATCTTCACCTAAGCGATATCGATAGTTACTTTAAAAGCATGCATGTCGTCATCTTTTATTTATTAAAGTTTGGGACACAAAATATCTACCAAACTTACAAAAAAAAAAATATATATATATATATATATATATATATAAATAAGAGTAATATAAATTTATTATTATTTTTAATTTAATAATTAAGTTAAGTTATTATAATATATCATTAAATTAAGATTATTAAATTGAAAAAGTTAAAAAAAGAACTTTCTTAAAATAAATAAATTTATTTATATATAATTAAATACTTTTTTATAGTTTGTGTATATTATTTAAAGAAGAAAGAAAAAAATTAATCTAACTTTCTAATTGTTGAAAGTATGAGTCTGATTTTATATCAAATACTCATAATAATATTATGATGATTTTATATTTATATCATCAATATTCATGTATTTTTAAAATAATAAATAAATAAAAGTTATATAATAATTTATAATTATAAGATTTGTTTATTTTAAAATTAAATTATGCTACTCTGATAATATATGGGTTTAAATTTAATTAATTTTAATAGAAATTGAGAAAAAAATAATATTAAATTTGTTGTTTAGTTCTCTGACTATTAGTTTATAATTAACTTGTATATTTAGGAGTTAGTTATTATTATATTTTAGATTGTGTTATTTTCGACAATAATAAAATATACTCAATCACAAACATTATTGAAATTCTTAAGAATATAACACTCTTTGTGTAAATTCATCAAAAATAAGTTAAAATTATCTTGTAGATAAACCATTTTGTAGAAATTATTTGACACTAAATATTTTTTAACTCATGCAGAAACCAATTTTAATTCTATAAAAAAATGTTTTGAAAGGAAAGTTTATAGAAAAGTTTATCCAAATAAATCTAAATTTATTTTACAAGAACTTAATTATTTTCTGAATTATAAAAAAATGTTAAAACTGTAAGAAAGGAAATAAAGAACTAAACCTATGAAAGAAACGTCCACAATTGCAGGATACTAGAAGCCACAAGGCCCACAAGTCTAAAGTGTTTCAAAAGCAAAATATGAAGCACTGCAAAACAAAAGATCATTTGTTTCAATAGGCATTAAAAGACATGGCAAAATAAGAAAAATAACAATAAAAATTCAAAGAAAACAGATTGCAAACTTGAACAAATTATCTTCTGCTGCAAGATGATGATTTGAAAGAGTAATATAAATAGGTTGTATCAAATTGTGTCAAGAAATATAATGAGCAATTATTTACTCGAACCTTATTCCCTGATCCCCTAAATGAATTAGAAATCTTAACCACCATTATATTAGACTAGTTAATAATAAACTTTTAAACTTAGCAATAGTCAATAACTTACTTTTGGAGCTAAAACAAAAACTGTTGTCTAGTTAATAATAGAATTTTAAGATTACTAGTATTTAATATATTTAATAACTTTCTTTTTGTCCTAAAACAAAAACTTTAGTTGTTTTATATTTGGACCGGCCCTTTCAATTTGGACATATGAGAATCCCAAGGAAGCAGGGCAGCATAAAACGCATAGCAACTACACGCTCGTGGAATATAAAAATGAAAAAGAAAAAATCATTTGAAAGAATGAGACCCTTTATTTCAAAGGTGATGATCAACAATAAACTGACAAGTCCATGGTGCGTCATTTATTCTCAATTTCTCATTCTTGTCTGAAATTATTCGTTCATGGTTCATTTTCCATCAACAGAACTAACCAAGGATGAAACTAAATCCAATGTCATGAAAGAAATAAAATAAAACAAGGGATCTTTTTTATTCCGAAGATGATAGAAACGTAGACAAGAACGTGAGAATAACGTGAATGTCAATTGATTCTCATGCTGGGTTGAAATCCATTCACTGATAATCCTCCATCAACAACTATAACCTGTCCTGTGATGTAAGAGGCAGCAGGCAGACAAAGGTAAGCCACCAAGGATGAAACTTCTTCAGGTTCTGCAATGCGTCCAAGAGGAGTTCGAGATAACATTTCGTCTACATACTTCTTGTTGCGAAGGAGCTATCACAAAACATGAGTAAAAGAAACAGTGAGAAACAATTTGCAGAACTGATCTCAGACTATAGGTTCTTTTAAGATCCATGCATGTCCTATCTAAAGGCATCAAAGATATGTTTAGACAAACATTTTTATAGATTTTGCTACGAGGAAAAAAAAAAAAAAAATTTCACAATAAAGTAGGACTAGTTTATCTACAACTTAAAAATAAGAATTTAGAAAAACTATTATAGATAATGAAGAAGCTCATTTTATTTTATTTTTCTTCTTATTTTCCTCTTCTAGAAGTGTTTATGACTTGCCCAAACTCCAAATGAATCTCATCTTATATCACAGCTTAACTACAATTGAAGAGCCACACATCTATACACTGCTCAATAAATCAAGATATGAATGATCTTTAAGCTAACAACAGATTTGAAGCCCATTTGTAACGAGTAAAATGAAAAGAGAACAAAACGTGGGAAATGCTGTTAGTCAAGAAGGACACGTGGAGGGTAAACAGCAAATGGTGACAACAAGATGAAGCACGCGAAACCACAAAGAGAATGTGCTTTTAGGGGATTTCAGAGAATAAAGAAGAGCGGTTGGTATGAACTTTCCTCTGACCTTATTCTTCTGTTGCGATTCCTCTTCTCTCTCTCCTCTGATAATTGTCTCTCTTTCCATTGATGTAACTGTAGGTGGAACTAGATAATCGTGTGAACCATGGATATCGATCTCGTAGCAATGATGATTTTCTGTATTTTCATATTTTAGCTTTTGCTGTACTGAACCTCTGATAATTTCAGTTTCGTCTTCATTTCTATACAAATTATATTTGCTCCATTTCATTGGTGCTTTCATTGACATCAATGGCTGAGAATATGCGACTGAAGGAATTACAAAATCAGGTATCTACATTGATGAATTGGATGGAACGACAATGTGAGAGAGAACAAGTTCAGAGAGATTTTATCACTCAGTTTCAAAATTCGCAACAAGAACGATTGGATATAATGCAGCGATCCTTAGATAAGCTAATTCAAAATCAATCTCAGCACATTGGTGGTTCGGGCTCAAATCAAGATACTCTGGGAAATACGTCATTGAAGGTAGTTATGCCAGTGAAAGACATATCTCTGGGATTTCCACATTTCGATGGTCATACACCTGTACTAGAATGAATTTTTTAGGCTGAGAAAATTTTCAATTATCATAATACTCCGTATGTTGATAGGGTAGATATTGCAGCAATTCACTTAAAGAGGTTATTCCGTGGTTTCAAATGCTACAACGCATGCATGCTGTTAGCTCTTGCTATGAATTGACTCGTGCTTTAGAAACTCAGTTTGGATTCTCCCTTTGATTGTCCAATGGGAGAGTTATTCAAGTTGCAACAATCCAGTACAGTCTCTGACTATTATTTGCAATTTATGGCTCTAGCCAATAGATCTGAAGGATTGTCTAACGAGGTTGTGTTAAGTTGCTTTTTGAGTGGATTAAATAAGGATATTCATCGTGATGTAGTTGCTCAGAGTCCTACTACCTTATTGAGAGCAGTTTCATTAGCAAAACTATATGAGGACAAGTATAATCCAGTTCCAAAATTTCATTCTAATCCTTACACTCACAAATATTCACCTATAGTTGCCACCACAACCGTATCTAATACTACAAAAAATACACCTAAATCATCACTACCCCCACTATTACGAACCCCTTCCATTCCTCCAGTCAAACATACCAATATTAAAAGAATTTCTCCAGCTGAAATGCAACTACGCAGAGAAAAAGGCTTGTGTTATTTCTGTGATGAGAAGTTTACTTTTAATCACAAATGTCCAAATAGACATCTCTTGATGTTACAGGCTGAAGAAGAAGAGGTTGAACCTATGATTTATTCTGATTTTGCGGTTACTGACAACAATAATAATCATGAAATGGGTGTAGAAAGTTATCCCCATCTATCCTTGAATGCCATGAAAGGTGGCCTTGGTGTAGGCACAATAAGATTCGTAGCTCATCTCAATACATTGCCGGTGAGAGTATTGGTGGATGGAGGCAGTTCTGACAATTTTTTGCAGCCTAGAATTGCTAAGTTTCTTAAATTACCAGTAGAACCAGCACCACTTTTTAAGGTGATGGTTGGTAATGGGAATTATATGACGGCGGAAGGTGTGATTAAGGACCTTCAAATTCAAGCTCAAGGCAATAGGTTTCAATTGCCTTTTTTTCTATTGCCTATTTCGGGTGCTGACTTGATTCTTGGAGTTATTTGGTTAAAAACTCTTGGGCCTCATATTGTTGATTATGCAACATCACAACTCAAGTTTCTACATAATAGAAAATTCATTACATTACAAGGTGACTCTGATTGTGCTCCCACGCAAGCTCATTTGCATCACTTAAGGAGGTTGATTAATATAGACTCAATTGCTGAAATATTTAGCATGTCGTTAGTTGAACAACGCCCTTATCAATCTCCACTACCAGACATACCTATGGACCTCAAACCTGAGTTGATATTATTGTTACACAATTATGGCTATGTTTTCAATGTTAGGATCTCAACCTGTTAAGGTTAAGCCATATAGATATTTACATAGTCAAAAGGATGAGATAGAGAAATTGGTGCATAACATGCTGGAAGAAGGCATTATACAACCTAGTAAGAGTCTATTCTCTTCTCCAATTATATTAGTCAAGAAAAAGGACGGATCATGGAGGGTTTGTACAGATTATAGAGCATTGAATGTTATCACAATTAAGGACTCTTCCTATTCCAACAGTGGATGAACTCATTGACGAATTATTTGGTGCCTCTTTCTTTTCACAGCTGGATTTGAGATCCGGCTATCATCAAATTTTATTAAAGCCAGAGGACAGGTATAAAACTGCATTCCGAACGCACCATGGTCATTACGAATGGCTCGTAATGCCGTTTGGATTAACAAATGCGCCCGTCACTTTTCTGAGTTTGATGAATGAAATATTCAAAGGGATATTACGGAAATTTGTGCTAGTATTTTGTGACGATATATTGATATACAACATCACTTGGCATGATCATTTAAAACACTTGGAAACTGTGCTACGGACATTGCAACAACACCAACTTTATGCTAGGTTATCCAAGTGTTCTTTTGGAGTTAAAAAGATTGATTATCTCGGTCATACACTGTTTGGAGCAGGTGTTGCTATGGAAAACGCTAAGCTAGAAGCTGTTAGAAATTGGCCTCAACCAACAACAATTAAAAATCTACGGGGATTTTTGGGACTCACAGGATACTATAGAAGGTTTGTTAAGAATTATGCTTCTATAGTTGGGCCTCTTACTGATTTATTGAAAAAGAACTCTTTCCAATGGTCAGAAGCTGCAACAGAGGCATTCCACAGACTCAAGGAAGTTATGACTTCTGCACCAGTCCTTGCAATTCCTAATTTTAAAGAACCCTTTATACTAGAAACTGATGCTTCTGGGCTAGGTATTGGAGCTGTTTTGAGTCAAGATCAACACCCAATTGCTTATTTTTCAAAAAAACTTTCCCCTAGAATGCAGAAACAATCAACGTATACAAGATAATTTTATGCAATAACGGAGGTAATGGCTAAATTTAGACACTACTTGTTGGGACACAAGTTCATTATTCGAACTGATCAAAAGAGCCTTAAGGAGTTACTTACTCAAACCTTTCATACTCCTGAGCAACAACAATGGTTACCTAAGTTTTTGGGTTATGATTTCACTATTCAGTACAAGCCAGGCAAGGAAAATATACCAGCAGATGCTTTATCAAGAAGCCTTTTTATGGCATGGTCTGAACCTACTGCCAGTTGGCTGGAGAAAGTCGTGGACATGACGAAAACAGATGAGGAATTAATGAAAATAATTAGTCAGCACAATCAAGGTGATTTACGTGATCCCAAGTATGTGGTAAAAGATGGATTACTGTTCCGCAAGGATAAATTAATGGTTCCAACAGATTTAACATTGAGGAGACAAATCATTTATGAATTTCATGACTCTAAAGTTGGTGGCCACGCTGGGTGCACCAAAACTATTGCTAGAATTTGTAGTCAATTTTATTGGCCAAAGATACATCAAGAGATTAAGGAGTATATCCGAAATTGTAGCATTTGTCAGCAGGCTAAGGTAGACCATACCTTACCCACAGGACTACTTCAGCCATTACCCATTCCTCAACAGATTTGGGAGGATGTTGCCATGGACTTCATTACTCATTTACCACCCTCTCATGGGTTTTCTACTATAATGGTAGTTGTTGATAGACTCTAAATTTGGTCATTTTATTGCTCTCAAAGCTGAATTTAGTAGCAAAACTGTAGTAGAAGCGTTTATTAACCAGGTGGCAAAGATTCATGGATTCCCTAAATCCATAGTTTCAGATAGAAATAAAGTTTTTATTAGTTCCTTTTGGAAGCAGTTGTTCAAAGCTCAGGGGACGACACTAGCAATGAGTTCATCATATCATCCACAAAGTGATGGGCAAACAGAGGTGCTTAATAAGACACTGGAAATGTATTTACGGTGCTTTGTCTATGATACTCCGAAGGCTTGGTATTCCATGTTACCATGGGCTCAATTCTGGTATAATTCGTCCTTTCACCATAGCATTGGCATGAGTCCCTTTAAGGCTATTTTTGGAAAAGACCCTCCCTCAGTTATACCATATGATTATCACCCACAGGATCCAATTTCCTTACAAGGAAAATTGTTGAATAGAGATAAGGTGTTGCAACAACTTAAGATTAATTTAGTAAAGGCGCAAAATTATAAGAAATTACAGGCAGATAAGAAGAGGAGAGAAGTCCAATTGGAAGTTGGGGAATTGGTGTTGGTCAAGCTGCAACCCTATAGATAACATTCTGTTGTGCTTAGGAAGAATCAAAAGTTGGGCATGCGATTTTTTGGTCCTTTTCAAGTGATAGAACGAATAGGATCAGTAGCTTATAAGCTCAAGTTACCAGATTGAGCCCGCATTCATCCGGTGTTCCACATTTCGTTGTTGAAGAAATTTACTGGTCAACCACAACAACAATATTTGTCATTGCCATTCACTACAACTGAGTTTAGTCCTTCAATACAACCCTTGCATATTCTCAAAACACGAACAATATTGAGGAATTCTACCATGGTGCCTCAACTGTTGATACAATGGGAGCTAAGTGAACCTGAGAAAGCTACTTGGGAAGATTTAGAGACGTTCCAACAATCTTATCCTCACTTCAACCTTGAGGACAAGGTTGATTTTAAAGGAAAGGGTATTGTAACGAGTAAAATGGAAAGAGAACAAAACGTGGGAAATGCTGTTAGTCAAGAAGGACACGTGGAAGGTAAACAGCAAATGGTGGCAACAAGACGAAGCACGCAAAACCGCAAAGAGAATGTGCTTTTAAGGGATTTCAGAGAATAAAGAAGAGTGGTTGGTATGAACTTTCCTCTGACTTTATTCTTCTGTTGCGATTCCTCTTCTCTCTCTCCTATGATGATTGTCTCTCTTTCCATTGATGTAACTGTAGGTGTAACTAGACAATTGTGTGAGCCGTGGATATCGATCTCGTAGCAATGATGATTTTCTGTATTTTCATATTTTAGCTTTTGCTGTACTGAACCTCTGATAATTTCAGTTACGTCTTCATTTCTATACAAATTATATTTGCTCCATTTCACCATTACTTTCACCTTATTTTGGAATGCAGGCCTCCTATATATTATGAATTTATATAGAGGTAATTTTTTTGATGGAAACTATGGTAGCTCTCGAAGAGGTTATATCATTCAAGTCAAATCACTATATTTGTAAAAGTTGTAAAATTCAGATGACATTGAAATTGCATATTTTCATCTGTCACATATAATATAGGGGAAGGGAAAGGCTACGTACTTCTTGTAGTCTGTAACTGGAATAAAAGGATACGAAATTCTTGTATTAGAACAGCAAATCTGACAAATGCATAAAATACATAAACACGTGAATGCTCTCTGAAAAAGAAAAGGAAACCCTGCTGGGCAATAGAGACTTGAAGCCTCCCACCATTTCCCCACTCACTCCTTTCTTACACCATTCTGTATTTCTTTCTTACACCTTTCACGCTACCTCCACGGAAATCAAATACTCAGCTACCTTGACCTTAGGGTTCTTAACAAGGTCAAGTGTTTAAAGTACAAGAATACAGTATAAACTATTAACTAATAGCTACTATTTCAAATTTTCCACACGTGCTATTTAAAAAGCGACATGTTAAGGAAGTAAAATTTATTAATGAATTAAAGAATTAACAGCAATTGGATCTTAGTACATCTATTTTACCTATTTTCCTCAACAGGTTGTAGTCATCCAGCAGTTTTTAATCCTACAGATATGTCATTTTTCATTTTAGACTCATGTTGATTGACATTGATGACGGTCAATCTAGTTGATTTGATAATTTGGCTCACATGACACGTGATGATGTCATCATAACACCTTTGTAAAGTTATCATCGTTATGTGCTTTGGAAAAAATTAACGACAAGGACCAAAAGTAAAAAAAAAAAGGATTGAAAAAGGACAAACCAACAAAACATAAGGTACCAAAATTTAAGCCTTAATTAAGTGAAATTTTTTTTATTTTCTTAATTTTTTGGGTATACGTACTCTTCTAAATTATATATCAATACATAAGTTTTCAACCATGTGTCATATATAAATTTACCCATATGAATACTTAGCCTGATCACCATTTTTCTACCTCTACAAGGCAAAATATTTCCCTTTAGGGCCAGTTGTGGGTATAAATGGGCTTATTCCAACGAGGTGGCTTAATGGTCCATTGGGCCCAGGCTCTAAAAATGATGGCCTAAAAAGGATTGTGCCAATCAGGCTTAGGCTAGACAATTTTTTTTGGCCCAAACGTTATTGGGTCTATTTGGTTTCCCTTCATAATTAATATAAATTGAAGAAAAATATAAGTTGACCGGTTTGACCCAGTCCATTTACATTAATTTGTTGAATCGGACTAACCTATTTAACAGCTGTAGTAGTGGGAGGGATTCAAATTCCCAACTACATGGTTCGTAGTTATATGCTCCAATCCTCTGCGTTACAAACCCCACCCCACCACTTCTTTTGGATATCTATTCTATGGAGTATCCTAAAAAGAAAGTGTCTTTCTCTATAAGAATGGTGAGTTCCACGATGTGAAGTAGAAATATTTTTAGTAGTCAATGGTCTTCCAGATTCACCTATATAAGCTGCAACTAAAGTATAAAAAGTTAGCTTGGATATCACTTGTGAACAATCCAAGGAACATCTTAGGTATAGAATTACTAAACCTATTAAGGAAACAAGAACAACAACTACTAATTCATCATCTAATATATTTCCGAAAAGTCAAAAGCTAACAAATAAGGTCTGTGAAATCTTCCAAGATTTTAGTAGGTAAAAAGATTGAAGTTGGCCAGATGTATTACCTAAAATAAGCTAATTTCTTTTATTGAATCTGGTGTTAGGTAATTTAAGTGTTTCCAAGGTAAATGAGTCCTTGTCCAATTGAAACAAAAATAAATAGAAACAAATTTTCAATAAAAGGAACCACTTCACAAAATAGTCACACAAAAGTTCAATAAAAGGAACCACTCATGAGATGACAGAGAATGCTTATGAATATAGAAGACATGATATACAGTGGTTGAAATGTTTATAATATATGTAGATTAGTAAGAGAATGGAGGACAAATAAGCAATTTTAATATGACGAATAGTATTTTTTTGAAAGTCCAATTGTATATTGGAGAAAAGCAAAAGACTCTCAAACGCAGCCACCTAACCGCATGATGAGATATGGTGTGCTAACTATTATCTTAGTCCTTCTTTCTCTAACATAAGTTATTGTAAGCTTTGAAGGAGATGGTGTGTCACAAGTGTTTTCCAAGTTCTATCGAGTGACAGGATAGTTCAATGTCTTAGTCCAGTAATTCTATCTTCAAATCCTTCAGTCTAAAAAGGAAAACAACTAACTCCAATAAAAATAGGAGGCCAGAGCCTTACATGTTCAACAAGTGGCGTATTGGTAGTAGCAGGAACAACACAATTGCTCCTTATATTGTCTTTAGCCCATTCACAAGCAATGTATTTTGTAAGCTGATTGATTGCAGCTGAAAATAGAATTGGACAAGAAACAATGCAATGCCCTTGATCAACCAACCTTTCATTAATTGGAAAAAAAAAAAATTAGTATGAACACAATTGATAGCTGACCTTTACATGCTGCATAGACGGAACCAGTCCCTAAGCTGACCACACTAGCAATAGATGAAATGAACACAATGCTTCCCATTCCAGATGCTTTCAGGAGAGGATAAGCAAGTTGGCACAGATGGTAAGCAGAGTCTAAATTGACTGCCAAAATTTGAGAATAGTCTTCAGCAGTGTACTCAATGGTTGGCTTCCTATAGTTTATTCCAACATTATTCACCTATGTCAAGTTACAAAAAACAAAACCTTAGCCTCTATATTTTTCTTACTAACAGAGTTCAGTTTAGTAGTAAAGACTAGTTTCCTAATAGATGAATTCCTACTAAAAAGGATGTTTACATTTTCTGCTGATTGTGACTGAAAAACAGAATTGCTCATGAAATGTTATTTGTATAACAATTACTACATTGAACAATGTTATTTACAAAACAATTCATCACCAGATTATACATCTAACTTTTTTGTGTCCATATCTCTCCTATACATCAGTTGTCAATGTCATGGGACAAGAGTATGTTGTATAAAATGTTGTGTCCGTATTAGATCTTTTCTCCCCTCAGTATTAGCAAAAAGGGAGTTAATTTACATAAATGTTAAGCTTGCCATTGAAGACGGAAGTGACTTCCTGAATGAGGTTCTCTCTGTGGGATTGAGATGAGACATCACACACAGATCCAGAAACCAAAAAGCCCTTACTACGCCATTCTGTCAAACACTTATCGAGCTCAGCTTGGTTTCTAGAACAAGTGTGGACAGTGGCACCAAACCCACATAAGTCCTCCACTATAGCATGCCTGAAATTAAATTCAAACACAGTTAGGTTCAGAACATAAAAAGCCATAAAAAAAAAAAAAAAAAAAAAAAAAAAAAAAAACTATCATAACCAAAATACTACATTTCCATTAAATAAAAGGACTAACCCAATTCCACGAGTTCCACCGGTGACAAGAGCAGTCATTCCGTTAAGAGACCATCTTGAGGCTTTGTAAGTACTGTTGTCTGCGGCAGCCATTACTTCAATCCCAAACTCCTCTCCCGCAAAACTCAAAAGCCAACATGCAACCATAAAAAGGACATTCATTAAAAGTTAAAAGAAAATATATGAAAACTTTAAAATTAAAGTTTTAAAATATAAAAGTTAAAGAATTTTTTATAACAAAATTAAATAATTTATAGGAAAATCACTCTTATCTTTCCTGTGATATTTTTTAAATGACGTCCAGACGGTCTAAGAATAATCCATATAACAAAATATCATATTCAATCTAAACATTAATCAATAAACCAACAATCACAATATCATAGATAAGATTAGTATCTGACCTCGTAGATTGGAAAACATGCTACACGATAAATAAATAATAAAAAAAAACTTCACATTTTAATTTTAAAATAAATATTTTTTTCCTTATATAATTAATAAAATAAAAATCATATTCCTTATTTTATCTATATGTATAGTTATATTAAAATTATACGTAAATATGATAAAAATTTAATAAATTTAGTAATATATCTTATAACTATTTATTTATTTTACATTAAATATAACTTTCTAGAATTTTATAAGGCAAATTATAGACAGCATTATTTTTATGACATTTTTAATATATAATAATTAAATCATTCAAAAATTTGAAGACGGTTTGTCAATTACAAGTTTAATATTAAAATCTTTTTAAAAGAAAATTTTCATTTTTTTTTAAATACTGGTCATTACTGTATCCTTCCATATTATAAGAGTTTTTGCAGATGAAGGGTCTAATAATAAAAGCTTTTAGAAGAAAATTTTCGTTTATTCAACTGGGATCTTCCCTATTACTATTTTAGTTATAATATATTAATATAAGAAGGTCATATCACATCAGAATATTGTTTTTTATGATAATAGTTTAATGAGACCACTCATTGTCACAGACAAGTAGAAGTTTTGAAGGGAGAAAATTTAAGTGAAATGAGAATCATTTGTCCCAGAGAAAGAAGTGAAAAAAGTTCAGGTAATTCTGATGCTGGGTTGAAATCCATTGACAGTGACTCCTCCATCAACACAAATAACTTGTCCAGTGATGTAAGATGCAGCAGGCAAGCAAAGGAAAGCCACCAAGGATGACACTTCTTCGGCTTCTGCAATGCGCTTAAGCGGGGTCCGGGACATGACATCATTTACAAACGTTTGGTTTTGGAGCAACTGCAGAAAATGTAAGAGAAGTTAGATCCAACACAGACATTCATAATTCTAACAAATAGTACTAATTACATCATACAATTAAGGTAGACTTTGGTCCACACATACAATGAAATGAAATGAAATTCTTCTATTCTTCGTACTCTAGTCCTTTTAGTGGAACCAAAATTCTGTTCTATTCTCAACATACACTAGTGACTAAACATGAATCCATCTAATGCAAAATATCTGCCAAACTCTACCTCTGTATTCAAACTTCAATGGCCAAACATTCAACAAAATATTTTCTTGATAGTGTACAAGCTCATAATGTTAATACGAAAGACATAATTTCTAGGTAGAAAAGCTACAAAAATCTGCTAGGTTAGGTTGGTTCTGTTATGTTTGACTTCTAAATCTACTTATGTCATTCCTAGCAATACTTACATTCAAGTTGAAAACAGTCAACAATTTCGAATAAGTAACAAAGTCAAATGGAATGAAATAGATTCAGGAAGTAATTGATAGCCAAAATGTTTAATATCCATCCACAAATAGCCCTCATAGATTCTAAAATCATCACTGTGGGTTTGGGTTTGAAATGGTGGTTTAGTATAATGCAGTACACGTATGTAAATTGGTTCTGATATCGATAATTGTAATATATAACATGTAGTTATTTTGGTGAAATATCACGAATGTCAATTAAAATCTCTCATTTTTTGCATAGTTATGAAAGTGGTACAATTAATTCAATTATTCTTAAAAAACATTTCCCCAGTCTTGCAGCAGGATTTGAATGGTTAACTAATGACTTCTATACTAAGCAATATTTTTGAAGGCTTTGGTTGAAAGGTAAACAGCTAAGAGAAATGAAAATAATGACAAGGAAATTACATGTTCGACAAGTGGGGTTCTGGTGGTCCATGGTACAACACAGTTGCTCCTTATGTTGTCTTTTGCCCATTCACAAGCCAGATTTTTTGTGAGCTGATTAATTGCAGCTGAAAATTCAGTGGACAAAAGATGTTATTGTCTTTCTTTGTTTGTGAAAATATAAAAATTTAATCACGTGTACATGAAAGAAAAGATGCAATAAATATGTATGATACTAATTACTAACCTTTGCTTGCTGCATAAACAGATCCAGTACCCATGCTGGTCACACCAGCAACAGATGAAAGGAACACAATGCATCCCTTTCCAGATGCTTTGAGAAGAGGGTATGCAAGTTGACTCATATGGAATGAGGAGTCTAAATTAACTGTCATCAGCTGAGAATATTCTTCAGCACTGTACTCAATGGTTGGCTTTCTAAAGTTTGTTCCAACGTTGTTTACCTAAAACACAGAAGTCATGCATATGTATGATTCATTAATCACAATTATCAAACAAATGAAATGGAAGGAAAATGCAGTGAAAGCGACTCATTATGATTTGTGATGGAAGCTTATGATCTCAAATTTGGAGCATTTTCTCACGTTAGTTTGTTCAGGACTACAAAATGAAACACACGTAGTTAACAATGTACATTTTAGATATATCATGAAGGGTTTAGGAGGTGATGATTAACCAGCTCCTGCCTATAAAATTCAACAAGCTATGTATATTAATCCAGAAATAGTTTCTTGTTGACTTCCACTCTGAACATTCATACGAGCACAATATTTCACATCAATTCCTTAAAGTCAAGTAGCTAAATATGGTTAAATCAAGAAAATGGGTGTTAACAATATAACATTGAAGTTGTTTTGGGATCGATATGAATCCAAACCTTTTGCTATTGTTTTATTTATTTTTAGTTTCAATCACAAGTTAATTTAAAAAGTCTGTTGTTGTAATTAAGCTTTCGAAATAATAACATACGTTACTGCGTAGATATATAGAAATACATGTGTGGAGTCAAAATGTATAATTTTCTTTTATATTATTTATAACATACTTCTTCCTAAAGTCTTTTAAATAAGAAAAAAAATGAAATTGATCATAAAGTAGAATTAACTTGTATATAAATTAACTTATTAAAAAAATCATAGAATTTTTCTATTTTTTTATTTAAAATTTATAAATAAGTTGTTTTTTTCTTAATTTTCTATTTTAAAAGTATTTAAAGAGAAGCTTGTCAAAATTACTCTATATTTTTAGAGAAAATAGAAAAATGGACTATCAATGGATAGTTTCGCTTGCGAAAACATGATTGCTAAAATTTTTAATATTTATATGTTTTGCATTAATAAATTAAAATAAAACATTTAAACTTGAGATATCATTAATTGCAATTTCCTTCAAAAAAAAAATAGTATTAATGTTATTTAAAAGAAAATAATCAGTGAGGGATAAAATAATTCTTAAGATAGCATAATAAGAAAATGACCAACATTTTTTTTATTATGCAATACACGTAATAATTAATGATGTATATGTTAATAATATAAAATTGCAATTATCTTAACTTCATAAAAAAAATTATGACACATGCTTAAAATATATATATATATATATATATATATATATATATATATAATAATAAATAATTAGTTATCATGAAAGTAATAATATATCATAAAAAATGTTATATTATTTTTTTTTCAATTTATAGTAAAATACTTTATATATATATATATATATATATATATATATATATATATATATATATATATTATGTATATTACATTAAAGTTGTAAATGATCCCATCGTTTCCATCATCATAATAATATGATAATAATAAACATAGCAATTAAATATAATTTATAATAACTACATAGTAATTGATTGTTTGAAAAAAATCATCTTTTTTTTAGTTTACTAGATATTAATGTGCATGATACATATTATACATTTCCTTTACTCGTTTATACAAGAAATTAATTTTTTTTTTAATATTAAGTATAAGAAACATGATACTATTTACAGATGTACAAGCTCGTTCTAGTGGAGATGTGTATTCATCTTTTTTCTTCTAATTAATATGTGGATTTCTTTTATTATCTTCAGACAATATAAGTAGTACTCATTGGTAAAAAAATATGTGGCTATCACTATATAATAATTTAATTTTATGAATTTTTAAATAAAGTTTAAATTTTAGGTTATTATCAATTGAAAAAAACTACTAAATAGTTCAATAATTTGTTTCTTATATAAATAATCAATAACAGTATTTAAGTAATAATTACATTTTAAAACTTTTAAAAACAAATCAAACTTTAACACTATGAAAATAAAATATTACCATAAATTATTATTGATTGTTGATTGATTTTATTAATTTTTATTATTGTTTATTTGATTTATATATTCTAATTTTTAAGTTATTCTATTATTATATTTTACATTTATAATTAAAATATCTCATTTAATAAAACATAAAGAATATGACTATGAATATTTAATTTTTCTTATTTCATAACATAATTACGTATTAATAACTTTTCCTCGTTACATATTTATATCTTTAGTCCCTTTTTTAAAAAGTTGATACTTTTAATTTTTATTTTATAAATATAATAAATAAATATGTAAGTTCAAATACATTAATACCACTATTAAATATAAAACTCGTGATCATCCCTCAACCATAATAAAGGTGCATTTGTAAATAAATTTTTATAAAATATCCAATTAAATAATATCATGATTTATTAAAATAAATAACTAAAAAGTTTACAACACCAAAAAAATCACTTAATTAGAGTAACCAATCATGATTTTATCAACATAAATCAATCCAACTTGTGAACATTCTTAGAGTTGTGTTGTGAAAGTTTTTTTATGTGGCTGCCATGAATACATTTATTTTTATTCTTCTGAAAATCTACAAAATTAAATTTAAAAGAAAAAAAAAGCTTTTAAAATATTTTTTTTATCTGATTTAAGAATAAAAGAATCATTGTATATAAAT